TAAAATTACTACTAATAAATGACCAGACCTAATCTAATAAAGTAAATGCTCTTCAAGGATGAGAAAAGCATTTCTCAGCCACAAGAGAATCACAGATCACAGGGTTTAAATAGACCTCAAGACACCGTCTTGTCAAGGTCTATATGCTCAACAACAGCTCCTTCATCCTCTTGTTATGGATCATTACAGTTCATGAAGACTTGGAGATCTTCTGGTACTGGCAGTCACATACAAAATGAGCGCAGTTTACGTTTTTTAAATAGATTTGCATTAGAGAATCTGAGAGCCCTTTAGTTAAGCCAAGGGTCCCTGATATCCACACACAGATATTCACACTTGCCTCACACATGTCAGACTTCTTTGGCCCCGGGCTGCTGGAGTCAGCGCTGGCACCTTCTGCTGGGCTGTGCGAGCGGATGCGACTGCTCATCTGAATGCCACCTTCTTCCTCTTCTGCCTGCTCATTCTGCCCAGAGATGTCCCCGCTGCTCGCGCCTTGGGGAAGCGGGGAATGCAGAACCTCAGTACAAAAGAGGGTGCGAGGACCGTGGAGCTCACAAAAATGGCAGAGGGCAACAATAGCATTCATAGTGAGAGCTCAGCACACGCGTCAGGCCTCCTGCAGGCAAAGGGGAAAGCACACAATATCAGCACAACAAACATTACAGCATTTCTTAGGCCTGACGGGTGTAAGCCCTGCTCTGTGTCCCTCCAGGAGCAGCTGGCCTTATGCTCAGCCTAAGGGACCAGGACAACTCCACCACAGGGTGACCTGAGCATGGGCCGACCCTTCGTGCCCCGATGGGACAGGACTAGGACTAGAGCAGACCCACCCCTCTCCCATGCCCGGGTCCCCGACTCTGAGCCGGGACACCTCAGGCCCCACAGGGGTGTGACGAGTCTGGACCAGACGCCCCGTGCCCGGATACCTCCGGTCTTACAGGGACAGGCTGGGGTCTGACAGACCCGATCTCTGCGCCCGGACACCTCAGACCCTACCGGGCCCGGCGCAGCTTCCCGGCTCCCGGAGGCCTCAGGCCCTAACGGGTCGAGACCGGCCCTGCTCAGCGCCCCCGGACCCCAACGCCTCAGGCCCAGCCGCACCTCAGGGCCTATCTTTTCGGGCCTCGACCAACCCCCTCCGAGACCGGCCCGGCCCAGGCTCCCCGTGCCCGGCCCCCCGTTGCCCGGCCTCGCTCACCGCCGCTCCGGGCTCCCCCGCCCCGGCCCGTCCCGTGTCAGCGGGCGCCTGACACAGCCTGACCCACCGGCCCGCACCATCCCTACTGGCAGCCGGGGGAGGACAGAGGGGCACACAGCTTCCCGGCTGCCCACCCAACTCCGCCGCCACCGCCACAGAGCGGCGAGAAGAAGAAGAAGGAAGCAGAGGAGAGGGACGAGGTGGCCGTTCGTACCGCGGTACCGAGCCGGTCCTTCCCGCCGCTCCCCGAGGATCCCGACACCCCCCCGGGTGCGGCATTGACCCGGCCCACGGCCGCCCTGTCCACAGGGGCTGGGCAGAGCCATTACCTCAGGACGGGAGGGGGGAGACCAGAAGCTCCGGACGACGCCTTCTTCCTTTCTTCGCGATCCCCTGCCCGCTGTCGCGCTGCAGAGAGCGAAAAATCGCGTTCGACCTCCGGCTGACGAGACGGGGCGAGCGACCGCCTGCCAGCCTGCGGGAGCTGCCGCCGGAGCGGACCGCGATCCCCCCACAGAATGGTACGGTCCGTACGGCGGCCTCCCGGGAGGGGACGGGGTGTCCCGTGCGCAGGCGCCGTGGGCGGGCGGGGCGCTGTGAGGGGAAGCGGGGATGGCGGCGGCCGGGGGGCGGGAGGGGCCTCGCCACAGGATCCCCTTGTACCTCCCGTGTCCCCACCGCGGGCGGGGCCTGGCTTCTCCCCGTAACGACACTCAGTACACGCACTGGCAGCACCCATCGGGTGTTTTAGCGCCTTAATCAGAACGCGAGGCCTCCATGAGCCTTTACCCACCGCATTTACAAAGCCCTTACTCAGAAGTACTTGAGTTAAACCAGGCCCTTTCTTTTCCAGGCTTTTCAAAACAGATCCTCCTTCCATTAAACTGCTCCAGCTTCCTTTCAGGATATTTTCAGTAGATTATTTATCTCTGGAAAACTGGTGAAAAAACAAATTCCGTATCAACTATTAAATCCCTCAAAATAATAGAAGTACTGGATCCTCCCCCAACCCTCCTTACCTTGGACTTGATCCCTACAGGGTTTTACGTACCTGAATCTGAACAAAAGCAGTAAGTCTTCCACAGGATAAAAGCATAGATTGTAAAACTTGTACTTAAATCCAAAATAAAAGCAAGTATCACTGGTATTACTACAATATACACCTCTGGATCCAAGCAGCCACACACGGACTAAGAATTACACCTCTGAAGAAAATGATGAATTTGGTGAGATGAATGATTATTGTAACCCAAAGATCAGATGTGAACACAAATGCTCAATCCAAAATCCATCTAATCCTGGAGCCCATCTCAGACAAGCGCCAGCAGCAGCACTTTCTGAGGGAGACACACTGTTCATACAAAAAAGAACTACTATTTCTACTCGAGAGCGTTCAGGAGAGCCCTGAGAAGCCACCAGCAGAGCTTGGAAAACCCCTGAGCAGAGGACATTGCCACCCATGGCAAACAACTAGCAGTACCCCACCAGTCAGCCAGAACCTCACAGCCTGAGAAGCCACAAGAACAAAAGACCCCCCCAAAAAAAACCTAAGGAAAAGCCAAGTCAGGAAAAAAACCTACTATCTCATTTAAGACAAACTAAGAAGAACGGCTCGTTTGTTATCTTTATTTTCCAATAGTACATTTAAACAACTTCTCAGGACTAACCTCCTCGGCCAGTCTGGCCATGCAGAACACAGTTCCTGGGTTACACAGATCGCCTGTGACAACACATACAAGGGTGGTGCTGGAGGAGAGAGCGGGGAAATCGTATAGACAGAGGCACTGGAGTTACACGAAAGCACTTGGGACAACGGCAGTGCTACGGGAGCAGTCACAGAGGTGGCTAACAGGGGGTCCTCGGTGGCACAAAACCAGGAAGGGGTGGTTGTACACAAGCAGCTTCTTACCAGGTCTCTGCAAACCATTTTATTACCTGCTAAGCATAACCGAACAGGAGAACCCTCCTGTGGCTAAGGAGTGTAGTTGCAAGACTGGTGCTACCTTCAGAAATCATTTGATACCTTAGAGCTAATTCAGATGCGTGACAATACGAGTTGGGTATCAAAGCATGCACTCGGTATCTCGTGAACACATCCCGTGGCTGTGCTTGATGGGAAGAACAAGCCCCAGGACCTCTGAGGCTCCCAAGTTTGGAGGAGCAGAGCACACAGTGTTCTCATACTTGATCAAAAGTCCTTCCCTGCAATAAATACAAATTAAAACCAGAAAGCTCAAGTGTGCTCAAAGCGCCTCAGCTGACCACAGCCCATGCAATTAGTTCCAAGACTTGAAGGAGCTACTTCATTAAAAATCTGACTTAATTTCAACAGTATCTCAAGACATGCAGACGCCAGACCGTATGTGTTTATCAAACTCATTACTTAAAAGCCCTTCCCCGAAGCACTTTTGGTGAACGCTTTATCTCTACTGATTCTACAGGTGGGACCTGACTTTGAATTTTCAACAGCAATCGAAGTTTAAAAGCACGACTATCCACGTGAGACAAGGAACTTGAGCAGTTCTCTAACCTTAAAAGCATTTGCCCTCTTAAAAATCAGATTAAGAACAAGTGTGATATATCATTTAAAACTATTACGTAGCTATTGCTACCATTCTTTTGATGTAAGCGTGGATTTATCTACTTTAGCCAAAAAAAGAGAGAAGAGAGAACACAGCTGCTTAGCTGCATGTTTGCCAGCATTAGTTTGCTTCCAGTTCCACAGCCAGAAAGCCACCCTGCAGCTCTCAGCAGCTAAGTCCACTCTCACCGAGAGGAACTACTCAGCCACTGCAACGTGGACATTTCTGATTCTTCTCCTGCATACTTTCCTTCCCTCCAACCCCCAGCAAGTGAGCCCTTGGCAACGAGTGGCAAAGCCATCCACACTTTTGGCTGGGTGGCAGCCTGGGGTTAGTCATTTGCAGTCCCTTCTGTGAACGACATGGGTGGAAACACTTGGACAACCCAGCCCATGCTCGAGCCCACCACGTTACTAACATCCTAATTTAACACTCCCACAGTACCAGAGGAGAAAATTGCATAAGCACGTTCAGCATTGAAATCACTGCAGGATTAACTTGGAAAACAAAAAAAAACCCTTTAAAAATCATAAATATCTTTAATTGCAAGACTGGTAAGGCAAGTTGTGAAAAAATAAAAACCCCAAGGTTTCGCTTTCTGATCAGGTGTAAAAGTTGCCTTCAAACATTGAAGTCTCTACGATAGGAAGCACAAGTACTCCATGGTGAGCTACTAACACTACGGACCTATGCTGTGTTCAATACTAAACTGCTATTTTATACGTTTAAAAATGTCACTCACCATCTAGAAGAACAAGCTGGGGGCATTTCCCTTCTACTCAAAAGGACACCGCTGCCACAGAGGCTCAGCTAGAATTAAGAGATGAGTTTTAAACGAAAACCCCAACAGTTCCTGTATCAGCACTGGAAGCACAAATGGAATATTTTCAGCTACGGGTGACCTGGATACAAACAAGCTTTGCATGGCAAGAGCCAGAAACACTCAGCTCCCATTTGGGCTCCTGAACAAAAGCCGGGGGCTTTGGCAGCAGCTCCTGGTCAGGCGTTTGAGCAGGAAGCACTGGATGCCGAGCTTCTCGCGTTCTGACTTGGCCACAGGTTTATTTATGCCCAGGAGTAGGAGGTTTGCACCGACACAGAGTGTTTCAAAGGTGTTTTAACAGTGAGAATCTTCAAATACATGAGAGCGACAGAAAAATTAAAGTCCCTATTGATTTAAGGGGTGAAGCACTTAAAGAATCCAACAACAAAAGTTCTCATGTTTAAAACAGTGAATTAAAAACTAGATAGCATTGCAGCATGTTATTTCCAAATAAAATCCTGCATTTTGAGAGCTGTACACAATTCTATGTTTCACATAAAATTATTTTCTCTGTAAACAAATATCTATAGCATGGCCTTCACTTTCTACCACCACAGAAAAGTATTAGCCTGTTGAATACCTTCATGCCAATTGCCTAGGAATAAAAATTTAAATTTATTTTGGTGTGAACAACTTCCTATCTAGAATCCTCCAGAACACCAAGATCTTTCAAATATCCTTTTGTTTAGGTCTACTAAGTTTGATCTAAGAGCAAATGTTATTAGGAGATATTTTGTACCAGAAATTTAAAACCATAAATAGCTGTTGCGTATGGATTCTCTACAGTGATTTCTGCTTTTCAGCAAAACTACCTTAAAAGGACTCGTTAAAACGCTCATCCTTTTGAGAAGAACACGGTTCTTATTTCATTTAATAGACAGCAGCCAGCTACCCTGGGCATATGCAAATTATAATGTAGAGAATTTACTTAAAATCCACCTTTCTCCCCCCACCATACATATGATAAATCTGCACTTTGAGCCAACTTTAAATACAGAATAATGAACCAGTAATTATCTTGTAAGTGAACCAACACTAGTTTGTATTCTTCCCTGAATAACACTTTTTTTTTTCAGAAGAGAAAAAAGGACTGCTACAGAAACACAGCAACATTCAAACCCTTTAAAACAAAAGGTAGATTATTTAATGCATTAACGATGTTAATCTGAAGATAAATAAATCCACAACAGACTTTTAAGTTTCTTTTGAGATTTCCTTTTTCTTTGCAGAGAGTATTTCTGATATTATACAGTACTGAGAGGGTGTTCTTTTATTTTCTTAATGTCCAGGTGAAAAGCAAAGCTCAGTTCTCTCTGCTCTCTTCGTGGAACTCCTCAATGCCCTCTTCCAGGCGTGACTCTTTCATAAGCTTTTACTTGAAAGCGGAGTGGTGAGCAACATGAATTTCAGGAATAACTGGATGGTTTGGTCCCTGAGTCATCTTCTTGAGAGCCCATACTCTGGAAGGGAGAGAGTTATTTGTTTTCAAAAACAGGTTTGAAGGTTCACCTTTGAGACACACAGTTCTTTGAAGTTAACAGGTATGAAAATAAAGCGCATATGAAACAACATGCACTTCCTTTTTGTTTTAAAGCATGGTGTTTATGCACATATTACTACTACTAATATGTAATTATTAACACTGTAAATACTGACATTCAGTGCAACACATCCTCACTGCACTGAATCTCTGACATACTCTTACAAGACACTAAATCAATTACCTTCTGCACAAACTGAGGGTTCACAGTGATCTCTTGATCCATGGCTTTCAGTCGTTCATCAAGCTCTATACATTTCAGCATCTTAAAAATATATATTAAGTTGATTACTTTGTCCAGCTTGTACATGATCTTCAAGATTTTTCAAGGCAGTGCTATGCAGAACCAGTAGCTTTTGCCATCACAAAAGCTCCATGTCAAAATGTTTCAAGGCTGTGCTTTGCAGAACCAGTAACTTTCGCCATCACAAAAGCTCCATGTCAAAATGTTCTCATCCCTCTTCTCCCAAAGAAAGGGAATAAAAAAGGGCTCTGACACATTATTTTGATCCACATCTTCCTAACGATCCTTTTTAAGGCCACTGATAGTGTCCCATGTGGGTCAACCACCTCAACCTACAGGCAGCTTATCCAGAGCCAGTGGAAGTGACCCTTGAAATCTAAAACTCCAAACCTAATCTTTCTAACCCATTCAATTCAAGGAACTTCCCATCACCAACATTAAGCAGTCAGTCTACAGAAACATCTCAAGCTGGACAGAAGATACAACTACGGAAACATCTCAAGCTGGACAGAAGATACAACAGGGAATGTATTGACAGGAACAGACAATCAATCTAAAAAGCTTTAAATACTGGTGCTGTGAAACAGTCAAATAACAATTTCTAGCTCTCAGCCTCTACGTGCAAATTACCTACACTGGCTTCTCCCAGCAGTGCTCTGATCACAGACTAAGGTTCTTTAGTAGGAATTCCAAAAGCAGTTAGTATCTTAAAGATTTACCTCCTGATCGATGTTATGAAGCATAGCTGGATTGTTATATTTTTCAGGATTATCATGGAAACAGACCATACCATCCTTCTGATTAATACTTGCAAAGATTTCACCATCTTCTATCTGAAATGAGAGAGTGTTTAATGCAAGGTATCACTAAGCACAGAATTTTGGGTAACTACAACACACAGAATCCTTGTGGAATGATCTTGTTTACTTTTTACTTCCTAACAGCTTCCCAAAGACAAACGATGCATGCTTTATCTTAGGCAGAGAGTATCTTTTAAGATTTTTTTTTAAAACAGTCTAAACACCACAGCAGACTGACAGTCTTTCCTTCAACCTGAAAAAGAACCATTCTTCAGCCATTCGAAACTTGCCCTGCCAAACCAAATGCTTAGAGTCTTAAATCAGACCAGTTTTTACAATAGGATAGTTTAGCCAAGTCACAAGTCTTACCATGTGGAGGACATATTTTTCTGCTTCCTGGGGCCCCGACAACTGCACCCGACTTGCCATGTCTTGTAATGACAATGTTAAAAATGTCTGAAATTTAGAAAGTATTAAGCAGTTAAAACTAGATGCTAAGAACTTCCCCTATCAATCCTTCATGGCCTACACAATCTTATTTTGAAGTCTTATGGGAAGAAACAAGTGGATCACAGAGTTATTATTTATAAAAGCACCATGAGAGTGAAGTCATTTCTTCCTCCAAAGGTACCAATTTGTTGCACTGTGATTTATGCAGAACAAATGGAGTCATTAGTCCGTTTCTGTAATTCCTTTTTACTCCAGAAACAGAAGAGCCCAACCTCTTCCCTCACCTTTCTCCATGAATAAGGTGACTGTCCCTCCCTTGAATTTCTCTCAAGGGACACGTGTTGCATTACTTCTGAACTTAGTTCCACTGCAACAAACATGTGGGTTTGCAAAAAAAGACCTGTCCCTGATCATCTTTGAGGATTAATCTGATCTCTCAGCTGAAGGAGCACATCACTCCACCGCTGCCTTTTCCTTCCCAAATCCATGCCACTAACTCACTCTTCTCTAATGAAGTGACCTGTAAAGTTCAGCTTTCCTATTTCTGGAATAGATGAAGGTCATTTGGTAGCAGCGCTCACAACTTTTTTGATTATGTATGAAAATCTCATGGGCAAATCCCCGTGAGACACAAACCGATTAAACCACCTTTTTAATAATGCATAAGTAGTCAACTGAATTGGTTTCCTATAAAGCATTTCAGTCTCATTTCTTTCAGACACACAAATCTCAGTTTTAGTCATCTCTCTGTGACATTACTTCATTAACATTTCGCTCTGAATTGAATACATTTCAGAGAGACACTCGTTGAAAAAAAACTAATCACAATTTCTCAGCAAAACAAAACCCCTAGATCTTACCTTGGTTAGCCTCTGAATATTCTTTTTGTAGAGAGATGACAAGCATTGCTTAACCAGCCCCATATTGTTATCCCTTGTGAATGTTTCACTGTGTTTGTTCACCAGATTTCGAAGCTCCGAGGGTTTATTGGTTGAATAAACTTGCGCTAATTCATGGTAAGCATTGCTAAGGGGCTGCAATTAGAAAAAATGAGAACTCTTCTTAAAAAAACCTAGTGTTCAACCAGCCTCACAAAATCTACTCGCTACTTCAACATTACAAACCATGCAGGCATAAAAGGAAATGTAAGTAGATCAAGCATCTCATAAAAATGACGTGATGCCCATACATGGCTTTACAGCAGTGACAGATCCTCATACACTCCATACGTATTACTGCAATGTAAGACGCAGTAAACATCATTCAATGACCTCTGTCTGACAGTTCTAGTTACAGGAGAACCAGAAAAAGCCCATTAGCTGACCAGCATGTGAAGTAAGCAGCGTATTGACCAGTCACTGCCCACCGACTGTATTTGTTCTACCCTCTAAGACACTGTCATCCCAGGCGACAGTGAATCACAGCACGAACAACAGAGAATCAGAGGGTGAATCAGAGAGTTGACTTAAATGACTTTCAAATGGCAATTGGTTGAGCTTGCTTATCAGTATCTGACGTTCGAAGGTTTTCTGAACTCTTTAAAACGTTGGTCACGAATCAACAGTGTTAAATAAGAACTAACTTTCAAAAGTGTGTTATTGCCTAGGATCAGAACTCTCTCGCTAGCAGTTTTGTCTCCCATCCTACACCTCCTAATCAGAATGTTTATGGACTCCAAACCTGCAGCTTTTTCAAAAGCTTTTATTCTTTACACAGCTGGGATTTTGGAATAAACTATTTCGCATTTCACACTTCAACTAGATGAAGGTGCAGGTTGAATGTTTTTACAAGGACTCTGCATATTGAAAGCCAAGTGAAATCTGAGTCTTGTTTGAGTTCTAACACAAAACGCTATCAAGAGATGTGCAGTATTAGTGAAGAGAATATCAGTAAGTACTATTCAACCCTTGAGTTTTTGCAAATTTAATTTTAAAAGCCTGTATCATTACTTTGTTCGTAATAGACAGAAGCTACCAGACAATCTTTAGGTATAGCACACTAGAAAGGCAGCAAGAGGTTGTACTCTGGCACATTGTACATTATTTTTCATTATCTGGAACGATAAACAGCACCATCAAACTAGTGTAGAAAGAAAATATGTATAAATTCAGATATGTTGATATATTATTTAGCTGTATTCACAAGACTTACCTTAATGAATCTACCAACTATCTGGGAAGTGTATTTTGGTAGCTGCTGAACTTTGCCAAGTAGTATCAAAGAAACTAGAATATACTTTTTATATGATTCCAACATAATATGACTGACTGCCATGGCTGGAGTAGTTATTGCCTAAGCAAGAAAGAAAGAAATGCAATAGAAATTTAGTGTACTTACTGGTAGATCCTGGTAGCTACTGCACTAACAAAAATCTGAGTTTAAAGCTGTGTGTATCAAAGGATACATCTTTGAGCATTAAAGCTTAACTAACTTCCATCACAATTAATTATCCAAAAGCATCCTAAAAAAAGTAAATTCTATACAAGCTACTCAAAACATATCATGTTACAGTGATGCCTACCTTAGAATAACCCTGTTAAGATCAAAACAAAACTAAACTTCTTTCCTTGGTATATATCTAAAGTTGTACTAGAAAGCACCACTAGCTACTTGTTACCAGGAACAATTATACATCTGTTAAGATAAAAACAAAACTTCTTTCCTTAGTATGTATCTAAAGTCGTACTAGAAAGCACCTCTAGCTACTTGTTACCAGGAACAATTATACAGTTCCTGTAGAACCTGGATTTACACAAAACCTTAAAGAGGTTTTATAAAACTATGACATCATCAGACCTCATCTTTAAGTATGCTGAAAAAGGTCAGCAAAATAGGGAAAAGGAATTTTAGTTTCCTATGACACTGCTTGCTACTCAAGAGCTCCCCTTTGTTTACAGAAAACAAGATGCCTGCACCCGTTTATTTTGCACATTTAACAGTCTCCTCCCATACATACATGAATTTTTCCCAATTTTGTGATCTTCTTTCACAGAGAAAGCGAAAGCAGCAAATATTGTGAGAGCCTTGAAGAAGTATAACTCCTCTCATAAAATTAGGAAAGGTCTTAGCAAAACCACTACATTATTTTTTCTTTAAGAATACACAATTCTGAATGTCAGCCTGTGACCTGTTTCTATGCAAGCAGTAATAGCAGGCATTTGAAAAATATTTATAGGGAGATAAATTTAACATCAACCTTTGAGTTGCATAGTTTTGTGGTGCAATAGTTACTTGGCTGTAAGAGACCTTCTTAAAGGAAAACACCTCTAAAGACAGTTTGCTTGTTACTTCACTTTATAAGCTACGAAGAACTATTCAGGCTGTACCTTTCATAAAAGAGCTAATAGTGAACACTAAACCAAATCAGTTTTTACATATTACTATGATGAACACATGTGCTAAAGCAAAACCTCTGTGAACGATGAACAGCATAGATCCATTAGTAGAATTATACCCCTAAGGTTAAATGAAAATAGTTGGGAAGACTGCTTGTACTTGTACTTCACTGCTTTTATGGCCTTCCTTGGTGGCAATTCAAAGATGACCTGTTCTCTCAGCACTATCACACATGCTACTTTTGCCTTTCAGTTGATCACACTTCAGACTTACCATTTTATTTAAAAAGTTACCTGTTCATAAAAGTAGAGTGCTCTTTCAAAGTTCTTTAGCCCAGTGTATATCATCCCACCATAGTAGTAGTAACATAAAAAGTGCTTCGCATCATATGCCCCATTCTCTTTACAAATATCCATCATGTCCACATCTAGATACGGGAGGGCAGGTTTAAAGCATTTTGCTAACAAACAGAGCTACAAGAAAATAAATCAAGTTTTCATAAATTAGCCATTTGCATTCAAATTTCCACAAGGAAACAGTTGAAACTAAGTTCATCTAATAAAATTTAATAAATCTCACTTCTCCAAGAGTGAAAAAAAGAAGTGCACATCAGCAGTGCTGTAACACAGATTATTCAGCGTATCATGATATTTGAGAAACCTTTATCACTGATTATGAATTCTTATAAATTATCTGAATCCCAAAGAAATTAGACTCTGACAAACTCCAGGCCTTCCAGACTACTGTGCTGGCAGCACTGAATATTGGACTAAACATTCCTGTCCAGCCCTAAATCCCAGGAGCCAAGAACAAGACAGAAGTGCAAATCCAGGCCAAAGACACCGAGACAAACATGCCTTTTGTCAAACTTGAGCAAACAGAATCTGGATATTACACTTATACTGCCCAAGAGAAACTGTGTGTGACTTTCAGCCCAGAGAGAAGGGATGTCAAAAGACTTTCAGAGGTCATCAACAAAGTGAAAGATCTGAGGACATACAGAGAACATTTAACATTGCTAGAAGGGGATTTTATTTCAGTATACCATATTATATTGGAAAAAATAACAAAACAAAAAGCCATTTTTACATTGCAATATTTGAACATACATATCCTCAAAGGGTTATAGGTATTTTATAAGGTTTTACTCTCATAAAAAGCCCTTGTGCTCCTCTTACCTGGCAGAGATCTGCATGTATTGAGGTCAGCTGGTTTGTGTTCATCTGCATCTTGTCTATGGCTTGTCTGAGAATGCTAATTCCTCGCAGGGGCTGTCAGAAATTACATCTCTTTCAGATAATTTCTCATAGATGGCAGCACATTGGATCTTATGTTGACACTTACAAATGAAAAATAACACTAATTGACAGGTTCCATTAAGTAATAGTTAACTTGAGGTTCCCTTTTTGTAGGATACTGCAGTCTCTCAGAAAATAAAATTAACCTTGGCCACATGTTACAGTGATGCCTACCTTAGAATAACTCTGTTAAGATAAAAACAAAACTTCTTTCCTTAGTATGTATCTAAAGTCGTACTAGAAAGCACCTCTAGCTACTTGTTACCAGGAACAATTATACAGTTCCTGTAGAACCTGGATTTACACAAAACCTTAAAGAGGTTTTATAAAACTATGACATCATCAGACCTCATCTTTAAGTATGCTGAAAAAGGTCAGCAAAATAGGGAAAAGGAATTTTAGTTTCCTATGACACTGCTTGCTACTCAAGAGCTCCCCTTTGTTTACAGAAAACAAGATGACTGCACCAGTTTATTTTGCACATTTAACAGAGTCTCCTCCCATACATACATGAATTTTTCCCAATTTTGTGATCTTCTTTCACAGAGAAAGCGAAAGCAGCAAATATTGTGAGAGCCTTGAAGAAGTATAACTCCTCTCATAAAATTAGGAAAGGTCTTAGCAAAACCACTACATTATTTTTTCTTTAAGAATACACAATTCTGAATGTCAGCCTGTGACCTGTTTCTATGCAAGCAGTAATAAGCAGGCATTTGAAAAATATTTATAGGGAGATAAATTTAACATCAACCTTTGAGTTGCATAGTTTTGTGGTGCAATAGTTACTTGGCTGTAAGAGACCTTCTTAAAGGAAAACACCTCTAAAGACAGTTTGCTTGTTACTTCACTTTATAAGCTACGAAGAACTATTCAGGCTGTACCTTTCATAAAAGAGCTAATAGTGAACACTAAACCAAATCAGTTTTTACCTATTACTATGATGAACACATGTGCTAAAGCAAAACCTCTGTGAACGATGAACAGCATAGATCCATTAGTAGAATTATACCCCTAAGGTTAAATGAAAATAGTTGGGAAGACTGCTTGTACTTGTACTTCACTGCTTTTATGGCCTTCCTTGGTGGCAATTCAAAGATGACCTGTTCTCTCAGCACTATCACACATGCTACTTTTGCCTTTCAGTTGATCACACTTCAGACTTACCATTTTATTTAAAAAGTTACCTGTTCATAAAAGTAGAGTGCTCTTTCAAAGTTCTTTAGCCCAGTGTATATCATCCCACCATAGTAGTAATAACATAAAAAGTGCTTCGCATCATATGCCCCATTCTCTTTACAAATATCCATCATGTCCACATCTAGATACGGGAGGGCAGGTTTAAAGCATTTTGCTAACAAACAGAGCTACAAGAAAATAAATCAAGTTTTCATAAATTAGCCATTTGCATTCAAATTTCCACAAGGAAGCAGTTGAAACTATATTCATCTAATAAAATTTAATAAATCTCACTTCTCCAAGAGTGAAAAAAAGAAGTGCACATCAGCAGTGCTGTAACACAGATTATTCAGCGTATCATGATATTTGAGAAACCTTTATCACTGATTATGAATTCTTATAAATTATCTGAATCCCAAAGAAATTAGACTCTGACAAACTCCAGGCCTTCCAGACTACTGTGCTGGCAGCACTGAATATTGGACTAAACATTCCTGTCCAGCCCTAAATCCCAGGAGCCAAGAACAAGACAGAAGTGCAAATCCAGGCCAAAGACACCGAGACAAACATGCCTTTTGTCAAACTTGAGCAAACAGTATCTGGATATTACACTTATACTGCCCAAGAGAAGCTGTGTGTGACTTTCAGCCCAGAGAGAAGGGATGCCAAAAGACTTTCAGAGGTCATCAATAAAGTGTAAGATCTGAGGACATACAGAGAACATTTAACATTGCTAGAAGGGGATTTTATTTCAGTATACCATATTATATTGGAAAAAATAACAAAACAAAAAGCCATTTTTACATTGCAATATTTGAACATACATATCCTCAAAGGGTTATAGGTATTTTATAAGGTTTTACTCTCATAAAAAGCCCTTGTGCTCCTCTTACCTGGCAGAGATCTGCATGTTTAGTATTGAAAAAACCAAAACAGTTAAAAGCCATTTTTACATTGCAATATGTGAACATGCATATCCTCAAAGGTTTATAAGTATTTTATAAGCTTTTACTCTCATAAAAAGCCCTTATGCTCCTCTTACCTGGCAGAGATCTGCATGTATTGAGGTCAGCTGGTTTGTGTTCATCTGCATCTTGTCTATGGCTTGTCTGAGAATGCTAATTCCTCGCAGGGGCTGTCAGAAATTACATCTCTTTCAGATAATTTCTCATAGATGGCAGCACATTGGATCTTATGTTGACACTTACAAATGAAAAATAACACTAATTGACAGGTTCCATTAAGTAATAGTTAACTTGAGGTTCCCTTTTTGTAGGATACTGCAGTCTCTCAGAAAATAAAATTAACCTTGGCCATACAACCTCTGCTGATAAACTAAATAAATTATGCTCCACAAAGCCAGCCTCATCAGGAATACAGTAATTTGCATCAGTAAGAAAACCCTTCTTGACTCCATGAGACCACCTCAACTCCCACCAAATAACAAAGGCAAGGCTCTGGCTTTACTCCGCTTAGACCAGCCTTGATCTCTATTTCAGGCTAGATTTCACTAAGATGGCCTGAAAAAGTCAGTATCTTAGCAACAAAAACACTGGTCAAATATGTCTTAATCAAGTTTCCTTTACATTTTAAATCATTTCATTAGGAACATTACATAACACTGGTGAGAATAACGTTGAAACTAGTACCACTGACTCCTCAGCGCTAATAGCTTTTGCAGCTCCCCTACTCATGCACATATTGTCTGAAGAACATTCTTGGTACTGCAGGTTTCCTAGTTTTTGTGCAAGAGCACATTTTTAGGTGGCTCTCCCCTCAAAAACTTAATCTTTCTTATATTTTCCTTAAAGAAGTCTTAAAAATCTTGGTTTAGGTTAATTACCTCTCTGTAAACTTAATAAGTAAGGTGCTGAACAAAAATACTTAACCTGAAGTTAGTAGCAAATCTTTATGAAGTAAGAGACTGGTAACATCCCCCTTTAAGAGCTCAGATATTGTAGGTAATTTATTTGTAGTAGATGATACTTGCTCACCTGTTTTCTCTCCACAAGGGCATTTGTTAACTGGTGGCACAGGCCAGCAACTAAATAGAATAAAGAAAAACAAAACAAAACAACAGTGAAAAAAATAATCAATAAAACCACACTATCTGAAAATATATCAAGTCTGAAAGTGAGGTTAACTTACAAGTGTCTGTTGCATATCTAATGTGTTCTCCATTACAAGTGCTGATAAAAAGCTGCACCTGTGAGAATAACGTTTCGAAGTCAGGGATGCTGGGCATAGAAAACTTCACAAACCTAAAGCAAAAACAACAACAACAAAGATTTAACACTTAACATTTGGATATTAATAAAAAGGCTTCATCTTCATTGCTAAGTCTCTGCAGACGCACGTAGATGCTTGCAAACAAATCCAAAGTGTTTATAACAGATGGCACACCATTTCCCCAGGAGCTGCACAACATTTGAAAACATACTTTCCGTGCCCACCCCCATTCTCAATCTAGAGCAAACTACAATTTAGAACAAACTACGGCAAACAAAGATCATATTATCTGGTACAGCAGTTAAAATCACTGGCTAACGATGATAAATTGTAATACTCGGCCACAGCACTTCTTTGCCTGTCCTGCAGCCATCTCCTGCTTGAATGTGCTCAAGATTTCTCAACTATTAGATGCGTATTTCGTTTGGAGGCCTTTTTCTTCTCTTCCAGTTTCTTTCCATCTCTGCTGGTTCCTTAGGCTGTAGCCTCACACATTGCTTCTCCAGTGAGATGAGCTACGATTATGCTCATCTGAGGGCAATGAAAACTCTAGCTATGCCTCCTACAAACGTCACAAAAACATATAGAAAAAAACTACTCTGATTAATGCTGTTGGGTGGTACCCAGCCCTGCCTATACTTCAGTTGCTACACACTGTAATATGCAGTTCAAACCCACCTAGATCTCAAACTGACATTCCCAAGGCTTACGAGTGTCCAGTTTTGTGCTGCCACCCCTTCCCTGTCTCTCCAGAGTTTAATTCTACCAGCACATGAGTTTGCCACTGGAGAGTTTCAGCTGGGAGAGCTTTCCTATACATTCCACTGATACCATCTCTTCAAATAATACATTTTACACAGTATTTCTTATCAACAGTTATCTTCCTTCTTCCTCCTGTTTTAATGACTGTTTTCATGTACCCCATGATACATTCCTTCTGCTAATGCAGTAGTGATGCCCTGCTTTCCGTAAATTCCCTAATGCATTTTTATGAGATGCTAGTGAATTGTAGTATTAAGCACATTACCTCTGTGTATTACAGTCATTTTGTTTCAAAAGGGAAGCAGAACAAGTACTAGAGTTCTGATCTTTCCTTTACAAGAGAACTTTAAAGTAACAGTGGAACCTGTAGACGCTTCACTTGCAGTTAGGTACAGCTAGAAACAACAGTTGGAGCTTCAGGGACTAGTATCCTCACCTTACCTCACCATCACCAAGACACTTCAAGTATTATCTTAAACTACAGACAGCCCCAAGAGTCTCAGTGCTGTCTAAAGACAAAAATCCAAGAACTATGATAAAAAGAAGCATTGTTTCGTGCTTACAGTTCGGTGCATTAATGCCCTGTGAATCAAGTTTTAAAAGTTACTTCTATACCTTTTTGCTGAACACATATGGAAAAGCATTTATACAGACATAAACAAGAGAAATAGATACAGCCTTAAGGAAAACAAACTCCCAGTATGACCATTTGACACTAGCAACATTTACAAGCTCCAGAGTTGTTTTTTTCTTTTGAAAATACAAATTTGCCTTAGTATTTTTATTAATAAAATGTGCATCACTGAAGGAAACTAAGCACCACTCTAAAAAATGCACACTGGAAACATTTATGCCCAAAAGAAAAAGCATTTAGTTGACAATTCAGCATGTTCCTGAAGTTTTAATAGTAAAGATAATTAATTAAAAGAAAGCAACACTTACAAGACAGCAAGAACTCCTAACGAGTGTTCCTGCACATCCAGGGCACCAAGCACTGTATCCAGATGGGAAAGATTTTTTGCTAGCAGTTCTCCGCTTTTATTGATCAGTTCACAAAGCTGGGTCATTTGCCCTGAAATACAAAACATCGGTGTCAAACTCCAATTAGAGAACACCCATACATTCCCATACTTCATTACACCCTGCTTCCCTATATAACTGGAGGAAAAAGTAGCGTCACCCAGAGAATTTGCTTTTCTTTAATATGATAGGCATTAGTTTTCAACATGCCTCATGCGGATAGGTTTATCTATAGTTGTGCCTTGTAGGCACAAAAAAACCCAAAACAGTAGAAAAATAACAGTTTTCTAAAAAACCCCAATACTAGCGCTTGTTCCTTGCTGCTTCTCAAGTGCCCTATCCACTCTTCAGGTTGGCTCATAAGCATTTTTTTTTGAAGCAGACATTAAAATTACAACTAAGTACCTATAACAAAAGGATTAAAAAACCCTGTTCTTAAATTTACTTCATGTAAGTATATCTACAGTGTTATTCTATTTGTTGTAAGCTATGAACACAGCATGAAAGGCAACTATTTTGAAACAGGAAAGTATGGCGAGTCCAAAAAACCTTAGAAAGAAAGTAGACCATGAACTACTTCCATTATCATGAACTGCTTTCAAACTCTTCCTCCCCCCACAATTACTTGAATTAAAACTATGCCTTTCTGAAGCTGAGTATTGTTCCAGTGTTCAATCCTTGCAGATTAGAGAGAAAAAACAGAGGTTCTCTCACCCTTACAAAAATCTTCATGAAATGAGGAATAGTGCCTCCATTCATTCAGATTTACACTATCCTTAGTTCTCTGGCCTTTTCCTTTGAAAAACAAACCTGCGAAGCCCTAGCAAGGAAACGTTAGCTTTGAAGTAACAGAGGGATCAGAGCCCAGGAACCCCAGAAACCCATCCCCAAAACTGCTTTCCCCATTCAGAATTAAAAACTCTAAGCATAAACATGGGAAGGACTAAGGCTTGTAAAGCACTCTGGTTTGATAACGGTATTCAAGCATTGCAAAACCTTAGCTCTGGTGTCCCCCCCTGTAGAGAAATCCACCTATTCTACAGCTAATATCTAGCGTTCCCCTAAACAACAAAGCAAAACCCCTCAAAACAGCCCTCTACCCACAAACACACACTGAACAACTTACAGCGTAAGTAGAAATACCCACACCAGGCACAACTAAATGTCCATTTATGTCACCTCTCATGCAGCCAAATGCTAATAACCAGAAACCAACACCACCAAAAGCACATGGACTTCTCCTGTGTGCTCTCATGACCTTCAGCAGCCTGGATTTACTTTCTCACAGAGAACATCTATTTGGCTCATCCCGAATGGGAGAACTTCCATAAAGTCAACCAGTTTCTCCTTGAACCTTTTGCATCCACAAAACCTTGTAATAAAAAGTTCTCCAGCTAAACTACAAGGAGAACAAAGAACCATCTTTCATCTGGTTTGTACCCACACCTTGCAGGTATGATTTGTCTCTTGTATCCAATAACCCCAGTAAAAATACTCTGTATTGAATAAGTTAAACCAAAGTAAGAGAAAGCTGGAACTCCACCTAAAAGTAACTGCCAGAGAAGAAAGCATCAATTTTAGATCAGTTCCAGGGAGCAAACATGCCATGCAGAGAAACACTCAGGACACATTTTTGGGAGCATCAACACAGGGAGAAAGTCCAAGAACTAGGAAACACTGTGCCCACAGACAGGAAAATTAGGAGTTTGGCCATGAAACTAAGGAATGCTAACTATGGTTATTAAAACACTTTCTGAACACTCGGTTATGGCAAGTCTGATGTACAGTCTCGGGCCTCCTATCGCATGCTTCCTCGGCAAGGCAGGACTCTTCTGTCCACGCTCCACTTTGCCCCCAGAAGCTAACATTTCTGAAATTTATTTTAAAACACACACGCTACAACTTGCATGCTCATCAGTCAGGTGACAGTCTGGGCTATACGATCCCACTTCAGGTCCCCGCGATGCCCGCTCCTCGCCCCCAGATTTCCAAGGCTCTGATTTTGACACGGCCGCCGGTGCCGCCTTCATTCCCCTCACCCGGAGACCTCCAACTACCGAAAGCCGCCCACCGTGCCGCTGCCCCGGGAGAGGGAGCGCTGTGAAGGGCACAGCCGGCCCCTCACACCCTGTCAAACCAGCGGCGGCGAAACCCCTCGAAATCCCTCCGAGGCCGAGGGAACCCTGAATTATAGCCCGGCAAAGGGACCCGCGCCTGAGGGAAGAACGGTGAGGGGGCGGACAGGCCTCGGCCCGCCCTCCACAGCCGCGCGGGGCCTGGCGGGCTCCACCGGCCGCCGCCGCCCCCTCCTCCTCCTCAGGCCCCGCTGGCTCCCCGCCACACGCGGCTCCCCCCCCACCCCCTCTCACGGTCACCTTGGGCCGAAAGCTGCCGGACGCTGTTGACGAACTGCTCCAGGGCCGACGCCATCTTGGCGGCTGGCGGCG